GAAACAGCGCAGGGCAGAGGCTCATCCAGCTGCCCCAGGCAACCCTGCCTGTGGAAGGAAACAATCAACCAGCTCTTCTGGGACTGCCCATATGCCTGAGTGTTGTGGAAGAGAGTTCATGTACTCCTGGTGGTGACAGGTTCATAACCCTGACCAGAGACGTAGCCCACTACAGGCACCTGACTAAGAAGCAAGGGGCCCTGACAGCCCACTTCCACCAGTTCATCTCCTGTTTCAGGTGCGACCAGTGGAAAATCAAAACCTGCTCATCAACAGGCACTCAGACCCCACTGTTGAGGACTGTATTAAAATGGAGCAGTACTAATATTAAAGAAAGATAGAGTGTGACAGGAAAGAGATGACAGAGAGGGGCCTGGCATAGACATTTCAGAGGCGAGCCCTCCAAAGAGAACAATGAGGAGGACAATGGTGAGGATGACGACGATGACAACGATGAATATGATGACAACCAGTGGAAGGACTGGACAAACAGGAGGACGATGGGGGGTGGGGGGGGAGGGAATCGAGGGAGACTTTTATGAAACTGTGATGTTTTCAAGGGAATGGTGATGAGTGCAGGAGTGCGCAAGTGCACAAGCACGCAGTGTAAACTTTGTAACGGGCCTAAAATCATTTAATTTTTAAAGCATGTTTTAGGGCAGTCACATGACAGATTGTTAGAGGTATGTGCCGCCCCCCCCCCCCACCTGAGCCCACCACCTTGCTGTCCGGCCCCGTTCCACCTCCACCTCCGGATCCAACCCCAGTCCCTCCCCCTTGCATAAGCAGAGGGAGAAAAAATTGGAGGGGGAGGAGCTGAGCATGCACATGCATGCTTCCACCCCTGCAACCTCCTAGGCAAGAAAGTCATTGTGAGAGGGGAAAGGGCCGGGGGGGAAGTGGGGCTGGGACAGGGCAGGGATCAGAAGGGAGCAGAGCAGAGCTGGGCCTGGGCTCAGGGCTGGGGCCCACTGCACCTGTGCAGCTGCCCCTTCCCCTGTGCCTGAGGTTGTTGCCCAGTGCCGGTGGTCCCCACGAAACTGCTGCCACCCAGCCCCACACCAGACCCGACTGCCTCCCCACCTCCCCGCGCTGGCCTGAGCCCCACACTGCCTGGGGGGGCCAGAGCAGGGTCAGCCTCAGCTGCACCACTGGGACAGAGGGGATGGAGCTCCAGGACCCCCGTAACTGCCCCACCCTGCCCCATGTCATCCCTGAGAAAAGCCTGGCACAGCCTGGCAGCCCCTGCAGAGGCACAGTGCCAGGGAGCCAAGGGGGTGGGGGGGATGTGGTCCCCTGATCTTTGCATGGGCAAGGGTGGGCTGCTGTAGCACCCTGCACCCCCTCTGCCTGCCAGGAGCGGGGGGGGAGGGGGGGCGGGAGGGGAAGCTTGCCCCACTGTCCACTCTGTTCCCCTGAGCCAGCACCCCATGCCACCACTGCCTCCAGGGAGCAGGGCCTGTGGGGGCGGGGAGGGGGGGGCAAGGCCAATGCTGCTGGCCTTGCTGCCCCACTCTGTCCACTTTGTCACCACCACCTCCAGGGAGCAGGGCCGGGGGGCAGCCCTCTGTTTCCCCCATCGTGGTGGTGCACCACCGCCGCTGCCTCCTGTTTGGAAGGGTCTTGGAGCGCTCTGATTACTTCTTTTGAGACCACCAATCAGAGTGCCAATAAAGCATTACAGACAGACAGACTGACTAAGGCTTTTACAGAGAGAGAATATACAAATAACTATTTTTGCAAAAAAAAAAAAGAAAAGCCTAGCCAAGTCCCTCTGCCCAAGGGTCCCTCCAGACCTGTTCTCCCCCCACCCCACCCCACGCACTGGGATGCAGTAGTCCAGACCAGCTGTGCGCAGCCCGCCTGCAGATGGGCCAGGGACGTCGGCTGGGGAGTTTCCCTACCAAAGGGCAGTCGGTCGGGGTTTCCCTGGCGGGGAGGGCTGCGGACTCCGCCCTGGCCCGGTGCCCGTGTGAACGGGTGACTTCTCGGAAATCAGCCGAGATCCTGCCACCGGCGGCGCGGGCTGCAGCCGGCAGAGGGCGGCCGGGCCCCGGGGGCGGGCCGGG